CTGTTTCCGGCAGCGGAGGATCCTCCAGGGCAGATCGCGCTGACGTTCACCCAGAAACGCTCAGCCTGCTGGGGGTCCTGCAGCTCCATCTGCACCTCCACATCCGACAGCAGCTTCTGCAGGACACACACACATACACATACGCATGAGCAGAGCACAGCAGAAAGAGCCCATTGTCTGACCTGCAGCCTCTTGTATAAGCAGGTTCAGGGGGGAACGGCTAAAAATAGCAGCTCTTTGCCGCAGCATTTTTGGTGCAGGCAGTCAGAGGCATTTATAAAGCAGGCTACTGTTCAGTGGTATCAGTGGATTTCAGGGAGGACAATACATTGTTGTGCCTGAGCAGAGATTATTCCTGGTCTTAAAGGAGCACCACACTTGTTTTTGGAAATAGGCTTATTTTACAGCTTTACTATAGTTAAACAGTTGAATCTTATAATGTTTGAATCCATTCAGCCCATCTCAGGGATGGGCAGGAACACTTTTAGCTTAGCTTAGCATAATGAATGGAATTGGATTAGACCATTAGCATCTTACTCAAAAATGACCACAAAGTACTTTTTTTACTATTTCAAACTTGACTCTTGGTGACACAGTGGCGCAGTAGGTAGTGCTGTCGCCTTACAGCAAATAGGTCGCTGGGTCGCTGGTTTGAGCCTCGGATCAGTTGGCGTTTCTGTGTGGAGTTTGCATGTTCTCCCTGCACTTGCGTGGGTTTCCTCTGGGTGCTCTGGTTTCTCCCACAGTCCAAAGTGTATGAGTGTGTATGTGAATGAGTGTGTGTGTGGATGTTTCCCAGAGATGGATTGCGGCTGGAAGGGCATGCGCTGTGTAAAAACATGCTGGATAAGTTGGCGGTTCATTCTGCTGTGGCGACCTCGGATTAATAAAGGGACCAAGCTGACAGGAAAATGAATGAATTGACTTTTATGTAGTTTCACACTGAGTACTTAGTATGCACGAAGAAGAAAATGAAACCTTTCTATTTTCTAGGCTGATATATGGCAATAGGAACTATATTATCATCCTCATCCTTAATTATTATGCTAGAATGAGAGTATAGTTCCTATATCAGCCTAGAAAATTAAAATTAAAGTTTTCTATTGGTCTTAGTACACGATGTTACCACAGAAGAGTCAAGCTTTAAATAGTTAAATCATCAAAACTCTGGGCATTTTTTTAGCAGGATGCTAATGGTCTAATCTGATTTAATTCATTATGCTAAGCTAAGCTAAAAGTGCTCCCGTCAGCCCTGGATGTTGGCTGAATGGATTAAAAAAATGTCAACTATTTAGCTCAATGAAAGCTGTGAAATGAGCCTATTTATATTTTAAATAAGTGGAGTGTTCCTGTAAACACATGCTGGAATCACAGAGATTTAAGAGATTATTCTTTTTTATTTTTAAAGGAATTCTACACTTTATTTCCATTTTACAGCTCTCCTAAAGTTAAACAGTTGGGTTTTACCCTTTTTAAAATCCATTCAGCCGATCCTTGAGTCTGGAGCAAGCACTTTTAGCTTAGCTTAGCTTAGCATAATTCATTGAATCGAATTGGACCATTAGCATCTCGCTCATAAATGACCAAAAAGTCTTGATAATTTTCCTATTTTAAGCTTGACTTCTCTGTAGTTACATCGTGTACTAAGACAGATGGAAAATGAAACGGTGCTATTTTTTAGGCTGATATATGGTTATAGGAACTACAGTATACACTCATTCTCATCTTTGATTATTATGCTGGATAGTACAGTTTCATCATTGGCTGAATTTCTTTTATTTTTACTATTGGTCTTAGTAAATGATCAAGCTTTAAATAGTTAAATTATCAAAACTCTTTGGCCATTTTTTAGCTAGATGCTAATGGTCTAATCTGATTCAATTCATTTTGCTAAGCTAAGCTAAAACTGCTCCCGCCAGACACAGAGATTGGCTGTATGGATTAAAAAAAATGTAAAATCTACTATTTAACTTTATGAGAGCCTATTTATGTTTTAAAAAGTGGAGTGTTCCTGTAAACGCATGCTGGAATCAAAGCCAGTGTTTTTCCTCTTACTGAAACTGAGCGTTATGAAACTTTTGGGAACTTCTGTTCTGATCGTCCTTGAAGTAATGTAGGGAATAAGATGTTTACTTCTTATCTTACAGTGAAAGTGAAAGCGTTGTGGTTTACCTTGTAGGCCTGCACTACTAGATCTTTCAGATTAGATGCTTTGGGAAACAGTCGACCCACGTAACTTCCAGGAATCAGATCCACTAAATCCTGTTCCCAAGAAAACATGACAACAAGTTCAGCTCCACAGAAAAATCACGCAGATTCATCACTGAGTTTGTGAAAACAAGGAGAAACGTGTTTACAGTAACACAGCAGATGTGGTAAACACTGTCAGGAAGTGGATTGTGGTTAAATATATGAGTGAATGTTTGAGCAAACCACGAAAAATGACTAAAATTAAAAATTAAAACAGAAAATAAAATAAAAAAACTCTTTTAAACTGTTAATAAAAGCTGATTTCTCAATAATGGTTTACAAATGGTCACTTTGCAGCAAAAATGTCTAAAAATCACAGCTGAAGTAATTTGCTTGAGAAACTTACTAGCTGGTCAGTGTTTAACTCCAGGGCAGGTAAAAATTAAAGAGTTTTGCTACATAAAATAAAATATATCAAACTTTTTTAAATACAGTTAAAATATTTCAAATTTTAATGTAGTTTAATTTGGGCAAAAGTAGATTAAAATTAAAATGCTAAATAAATAAATAAATGAATAAATAAATAAATAAATAAACAAATAAATAAATAAACATATAAATAAATAAATATAAAAATATATATATAAATAATAAAAAATTATAAATAAAAATAATAAATAAATAAACAAGTATATAATTAAATAAATAAATAAATGATAAATAAATAAATAAATAAATAAATTAATTAATAAATAAATAAATAAATAAATAAATAAATAAATAAATAAATAAATAAATAAATAAATAAATAAATAAATTAATTAATTAATTGATCAGGTTATGTTGGTTCTGATATAAATCTTTTTTTTACTCTTCAACTTGTTTGTTTTTAAATTATATGTTTAATTATTTTTTTCATTAGAAGTTTACTCTGAATCACCCTTATTTATGAAATCTGCTACTGTATATAAATACACTAATTTAGCCTTTTTTCAGTTTTATTCACTTTAAATATTTGCAATTTCTGTTTGACTAATGTGGCGATGCATGAACGTTATTTTCTCAGTTAAATTTAAAGGGATAGTTCCCTCATCAATAAAAATTTACCCATTATTTACTCACCTCTAAGTGGTTTCTAAAGCTTTATGAGTTTCTGTATTCTATCAAACACAAAATAAGATATTTTACACAATGTTGGAAACCGGTAACCATTGACTTTCATAAGACAAAAAAATACTATGGAAGTCAGTGGTTACAGGTTTCCAACATTCTTTGAAATTTCTTATTTTGTGTTCAGCAGAAAACAGAAACTTATAAAGGTAAGAAGCAAATGAAGGATGAGCACACAAATGAATGCTCAGTTTTGGGTGAACTGTCCCTTTGAGTAACATTCATTCCTGAATATTTCTTTAATTCCTTGTGCACAGATTTCTTAAAGGAGACCTATTACGCCCCTTTTACCAGATGTAAAATAAGTCTCTGATGTCCCTAGAGTGTGTGTAAAGTTTCAGCTGAAAATGCCACTCAGATAATCTTTTAAAACTCTCTGAAACTGTCCCTTTTAGGCTTTCATCCTAATTGTGGTGTTTTGGTGACTGTCGCTTTAAATGCAAATGAGATTTTGCTCTTTTCAGAAGAGGGCGGAGCTACAACTGAGCAGCATAGTGGAAGATTCAAAACAGGACTAACGTCCTTTGCTAAAGAGAGAGAGATGTTCACTAGTGGGCGGGGCTTTCCCCCTCTGATGACATCATACAAATAAAGAATGTCAATCCAATTGTTTCTGCAGACTGTTTTGATCAAGTGTGATTATAAAAAATACAATTAATAAATGTGTACCCTTAGAGGCTGCTAATATTCAGACACTGTTGCTTAACTTTATGTGCACAACTGTGTTTAAACCCCTTGTGAAAGTGATTTTTGCATAATAGGCCCCCTTTAAAGCAGCTTCTTCATGACCATTGTGTTCCCCAAAAATCACTGCCTGATTCTGCAGAAAAAAAGAGCCAGAGAAATTACCTCATACCACTGATATTGCAGATGATCCACAGCGAAGATGGAGTAAATACTGTTTTCCAGAAGCTTCTCCGCCAACTGAGCGACTGTCGGGTGTTCCTGAACAACAACACACACGCGCACACACAACTGTTACACCAAACACTCATTATAACACATATATGAGTGTATGTTCATAAATCTGATTCTGCTGTCACGTAATATTATAGGATAATATTAATTCAGCACAAGCATTTTGCTATTAAGTGAAATTAAAAGCTATTTAAAATAAAATAAAATAAAATAAAATAAAATAAAATAAAATAAAATAAAATAAAATAAAATAAAATAAAATAAAATAAAATAAAATAAAAGTGAATCCAATGAAAAAAATATTTGGTTCTAATTGAGTGCTAAAAATAATAATAGTATTAAATAAATAAACAAATAATTATGATGAATATAAATCAATAAATAAAATAAAATAATCCTTTGAATAAATGAATAGTAATAATAATAATAATAATAATAAATATGATGAATAAAATGCATTTAGATCCATAAATAAAATAATCCCTGGAATAAATGAAAAATAATAACAATAAATAAATAAATATGATGAAAAAGATGCATTAAGATCAATAATTAAAATAAAATAAAATAAAATAAAATAATGTATTTAATAATGTATATAATATTTAGTATATAATGTAATAATAAATACGGTTAAAATTAAGAACTAAAATATAACTATGTAATATTTAACAATAAATAAGTACTCTAAAGTATAAAATAAATATGATGAATAAGATGAATTTAGATTGATAGATACATACAATTTGTTATTTTAAAATAATAAAACAAATTAATTTAATTAATACTAACTAATAAAAAATAATACAAATATAAATAAAACAATATTATAAAAACAACACTTAATATTTAAATTAAATTAATATTTATAGTAATAATAACAATAACAACAACAACAACAACAATAATAATAATTATAATAATAGTAATAATAACATATATTATTATTATTATTACTATTATTTTTAGTTAAATATTAATAATACATATTTCTTTGAATATCACCATACTACCACTGTACTTTTTGTTATCAACGACTACAGTCTTCAAACCTACACCTATGCTTTTGCTAGTTTGTTTTATAGTATTTGGCTTGTTTACAGATAGATACTATAAAAGTTTAACACAGTTGTGTGTGTGTGTGTGTGTGTGTGTTGTCGAGTGTTATGAATCAGTGTGTGTGTCAAATTGAGTGTCATTGTGTTGCTCCTCTCACCATAGTGCTGGTCTGAGAGTAGACGTTGTCCTCTAGGTGGCAGCGGCCGTCATGAGGAACCACGATACCAGCCAGTTTACTGTCCAGAGCCAGATGTGAAGGCTGATCCGTCATAACCAGTAGCAGATGCTTGGCTTCTGGACGCCAGCCGATGTCCTTCTGCACACATTACAGAAGAGTGTGGAGGGAAAGTCAGCTCAGCAGGATCACATCATTAACACTAATGAGTTACTAATGCAAGAGCAACTGCACAGGTCAGTGGGATGAGCACTGACGGACTCAACTGAGGAGAAGGAGATCATTTGTGCTGATTCATAACTTTGATGACTCGCTTTGAAAAATGCAAGTTATAGAGTTGAAAACAATAATGCATCCATAGATAGATGGACAGACAGACAGACAGACAGACAGACAGACAGACAGACAGACAGACAGACAGACAGACAGATAGATAGATAGATAGATAGATAGATAGATAGATAGATAGATAGATAGATAGATAGATAGATAGATAGATAGATAGATAGATAGATAGATAGATAGATAGATAGATAAAAATTTAAAAGAAATAAATGTCTAAATAAATGCTAAAAACAAACAAATAATGATATTTAATAAAATAAATTAAATATATACTACATATAAATCAAACGAATAAAAAGGATAAGTAAACACATATTTCCTGTGTAAAAATAAATAAACAAACAAACAAATAATAAAAAATAAACAGAAAATAAATAAATAAATGATAAAAATAAATAATAAATAAAATCATAAAAATACATAAATAATACAAATAAATAAACAATAAAAATAAATAAATGTATAATAAAAATAAATAAATAGATAGATAAATAACTAACTAAATAAATAATAAAAATAAATACATGAATAAGCAAACTATAAAAATACATTTAAAATTTTTATAAAAATAAATAAATGATAAAAATAGATAAAAAAATAAATTAATAATAAAAATAAATCATAAAAATAATAAAAATAAATAAATAATTAGGATGGATGGATGGATGATGATAGATAGATAGATAGATAGATAGACAGACAGACGGACGGACGGACGGACGGACGGACGGACGGACGGACGGACGGACGGACGGACGGACGGACGGACGGACAGACAGACAGACAGACAGACAGACAGACAGACAGACAGACAGACAGACAGATAGATAGATAGATAGATAGATAGATAAACAATAAAAATAAACAACCAAACAAATAATATAATATAATATAATATAATATAATATAATATAATATAATATAATATAATATAATATAATATAATATAATATAATATAACATAATATAATATAATATAAACAAACAAGCAAACAAATAACTTCTCATAACATCAGTCGTAAAAGACATGAGGGGAGTTTTTTGGACCTGACCCTGTCTTACTAATTCAAGACAAACTGCATCAGTCCAGCGTTTCACTGCCAGAATGACTAATGTTTAACCACAAATCCTGAGCAGATGCCAACAGGAACTATTTTTAAAAACTCACAGCCCTGAGGTACAGAACAGCAACCCACATACTATAAATTACTATAGTTGTATACAGTAAACACTACAGTGTTTATTAACCTTGCTTCAAAAGGTATAATACACATAGCATTTACAACACGTTGGTAATTCTACAGGAGACTGTAAAATAATTTAGATTTACTACAGTAAACTTTGGTGTATTGTAGTATAATTTACACTATAGTTGTAGAAATCTATAGTATTAGGTCATTTGTTTATATTATGATTGTTGTTGTGTTACCAATGCAACTACAGAATAACCACAACAGATGAATTACTATAGTTGTTGTGTTGCCATAGCAACTATTAAATTACCACAACAGATAATTTAGTATAATTTTTGTGTTGCCATAGCAACTACAGAATTACAACAACAGATAAATTAGTATAGTTGTTGTGTTACCATAGCAACTATAGAATTACCACAACAGATAAATTAGTACAGTTGTTGTGTTGCCCTAGCAACTAAAGAATAACCACAACAAATAAATTAGCATAGTTGATGTGTTGCCATAGCAACTACATAATAACCACAACAGATAAATTAGTATAGTTGTGGTGTTGCCATAGCAACTACATAATTACCACAACAGATGAATTAGTACAGTTGTTGTGCTGCCATAGCAACTACAGAATTACCACAACAGATAAATTAGTATAGTTGTTGTGTTGCCATAGCAACTATAGAATTACCACAACAGATAAATTAGTATAGTTGTTGTGTTGCCATAGCAACTATAGAATTACCACAACAGATAAATTAGTATAGTAGTTGTGTTGCCATAGCAACTATAGAATTAGCACAACAGATAAACTAGTATAGTTGTTGTGTTGCCATAGCAACTATAGAATTACCACAACAGATAAATTAGTATAGTAGTTGTGTTGCCATAGCAACTATAGAATTAGCACATCAGATAAATTAGTATAGTTGTTGTGTTGCCATAGCAACTATAGAATTTCCACAAGTGATTAATTACGAAAGTTGATGTGTTACCATAGCAACTAAAGAATAACTTCAACAGATTAAGTCATGTATTTCACTATAGTATGGTTCAAAAGACCACAGTATTCACTTTAAATGACTACAGTGTTTTTTCATATGGGAAGCACCTGCGTAACTCAAGCGAAGCGACACAAGGAGAGAAAAGAAGGAATATTCCACCTGAGGGCCATAAGAGCGAAGGTCAGAGTGCGAGAGAAAGCCAACGCAAACATCAAGCTTCTTTCAGTTTCTGCTTCAGGGAGGCTGCCGAGAGACACGCTGGAGACTGAAACTCATTCAAGGCTGTTCACTGGCCCACGGCTCCGGCTACAGTTTATCAGCTCACACTGTAACTCACAGGGAAAAATCCCAGCAGCAGCCGGACGCAATAAAAAGGCTTTGTTGATGTGAAGCCTCCTGAAGCGGCGATGACATCATCAGGCTGATTCAGCGCTTCACTTTCTTTTTGATGCTGCCTGTGTGCCAGTTTACAAACTAGTGTCCTCAATACTACACTGTAAAAAATGCTTCCATATTTTTGTGATTTACAAAAGTGTTTTCCATATGTTTAAGCTTGTGAATTGCGTTATGGGATGTTATATGCACAGAAAGCTGGTTGATGTGTGTAGAGTGAAATCTGTGTAACAAAAGGAGCAAAAATCTAACTGTCGATATGCTCATGCTCAGGTTATGACCTTTGAAACATGACCATCAAAACACTCCAACAGGTGGCGCCACAAATCAAGCTCATGCAGCACAGACAGAATACACGCAGTTTGTGCATGTGTGTGAAAACGTAACATTCTGCATTTAGCGATTTTAGTCATCATAAAATAGATCTTTATCATCTAATCAGTGACTGTGTGTTGCTTTCTATGCTGTGTCCCAATTCATTTATTTATACTGCACCCTGAAAGTGTAGCACCCTATGTAATTGCTATTAGTGAAAAAAGTACCTACTTTTGAGTATGTAACAGAATAGTGTTCTGTTGCTTGGTTACGTGCCTGTGAATCATCTAGTCACGTCCTCCCCAATTCCCTCAGAATTAATGTCATCATGCAGAGAATGAGTCGGCATTAATTATGCATTCAAAAATCAAGGTTACATGTGAATTCATTATCATTTAAACATCTAAAATTATTAGATTAAAGAGAAAGTTCACCCAAAAATAAAAACAAGTCTGGCATCGTTTACTCACCCTTTAGTTACTTTGAATTTTTTTAGTTTCCTTCTTGTTTTAAACCCAAAATAATATATTTGGAGAATGTTGGAAATAGGTAGTCACTAATTTCCATAATATATTTTTCTTAGTTATTAAAACAACAACAACAACAACAACAACAACAACAACAACAACAACAACAACAACAACAACAACAACAACAGCAACAACAACAACAACAAAAGGCACATAAAAAAATTGGAATCACTTGAATAAATCTTTTATATCTTATCCCTTTAACCCTCATTCCTACACATCTGCCATGTTTGTAGTTTTTCTACCTAAATTTGTAGTTCTAATCAAATACACATTTGTTGCAGTGTGTTCGAAAATGGCAAATGGCTTTGGGGTATTCTTGAAATAGGAGAGAATCTAAAAATGTGCCAGTTATTCCCAACAACATGGTTGTTGTTACTATAGCAACTATAGAATAACCACAACAGATAAATTACTATGTAGCTGTTGTGTTACCATAGCAACTACAAAATAACAACAAGAGATTAGTTCCAATACTTGTTGTTACCATAGCAACTATATAATTATCGCAGCAGATTAATTACTATAGCTGTTGTGTTACTATAGCAACTACAGAATTACAACTAGAGATTAGTTACAATAGTTGTTGTTACCATGGCAGCTATAGAATTACCACAACAGATTAATTACTACAGCTGTTATGTTACCATAGCAACTATAGAATTACCACAACAGATAAATTACTATAGTTGTTGTGTTACATAGCAACTATAGAATAACAACAAGAGATTAGTTCCAATACTTGTTGTTACCATAGCAACTATAGAATTACCGCAGCAGATTAATTACTATAGCTGTTGTGTTACTATAGCAACTACAGAATTACAACTAGAGATTAGTTACAATAGTTGTTGTTACCATGGCAGCTATAGAATTACCACAACAGATTAATTACTACAGCTGTTATGTTACCATAGCAACTATAGAATTACCACAACAGATAAATTACTATAGTTGTTGTGTTACATAGCAACTATAGAATAACAACAAGAGATTAGTTCCAATATTTGTTGTTACCATAGCAACTATAGAATTACCGCAGCAGATTAATTACTATAGCTGTTGTGTTACTATAGCAACTACAGAATTACAACAAGAGATTAGTTACAATAGTTGTTGTTACCATAGCAACTATACAATTACGACAACAGATTCATTACTATAGCTGTTTTGTTACCATAGCAACAATAGAAGTACCACACCAGATAAACTGCTATAGTTGTTGTGTTACCATAGCAACTATATAATTACAACAAGAGATTAGTTACTATAGTTGTTGTTACCATGGCAACTATAGAATTTACCACAACAGATTAATTACTACAGCTGTTATGTTACCATAGCAAGTACGGAATTACTACAAGAGATTCGTTACTATAGTTGTTGTTACCATAGCAACTATAGAATTACCACAACAGATTAATTACTACAGCTGTTGTGTTACCATAGCAACTACAGAATTACAACAAGAGATTGGTTACAATAGTTGTTGTTACCATAGCAACTATAAAATTATGACAACAGATTCATTACTATAGATGTTGTGTTACCATAGCAACTATAGAACTACCAAAACAGATTAATTACTATAGCTGTTGTGTTACCATAGCAACTATAGAATTACCACAACAAATTAAATGACTATAGTTGTTCTGTTACCTTAGCAACTATAGAATAACAACAACATAATAATTATTATATAGCTGTTATGCTACCATAGCAACTATAGAATCACAACAAGAGATTAGTTACTATAGTTGTTGTTACCATAGCACCGATAGAATTGCCACAACAGACGAATTACTATAGTTGTTCTGTTACCATAGCAACTATAAAATTACCACAACAAAATTAATCACTTTAGATATTGAGTTACCGTAGAAAGAATTACCACAGCAGACTAATTACCTTACCTGTTGTGTAACCATAGCACCTATAATTAAACAGTTAAAGCTAACAGATGCTAACGTTAATTTGGACGTTACTTCTGGAAAATATCTGAAGCTCAGATACATGTATAGTCAAATATTCCCTATAACACACTGCAAAATGTATTTTAAAACAAATGTGGAGGATGTGACATGATGATTGACAGGCCCTGTAACTAAGCAACAGACCCGATGCAGTATTTTTGTGCTAAAGCTTGCCTACTGTTATGTCACACACTTAGAAGTATGTACTTGCTTACAAAAATGAATTAGGACACACTCATCGCCTCTTCAGGCATTGTTCCCGTTCCCAGAGAAAACCTGAGACATGCAGGCTCCGCTAAAACCACCAGAGAAAACCCGTCCCGATGACACAGGAACAGTCATGCTAACACACACAAATTTAAAGGTTTTCCCACTCTCCATATATGCACAAACACAGAGGGAAGAGACTGCTCTGCTCAAATCATCAGTGAGGAATCTGAACAAATACTAACAACATCAGCATGTTCATGTCACGCCACACACTGTTTCCACTACACACACTGCTGAATCACTGCTCAAACCATGCAGAGTGCTGACTTACCATTTCTGCTCTGCAACAACAAAAAATGATCATAAATAATGATAGTAAATACATTTATTTAATTATTTAATTATTTAAAAATAAAAAATAACATTAAATAATTAAATAACATAACAATGAACCAAATAACATTTCTTCCAAGTATTTAAAAAAAGGCACTTGGTCAATAATTTTTTTTTTAATTAAGTTAAATTAAAAAAATTACAAATAAATTAAAATTAATAAATTAAAATTAAATAAATAAAATAAAAATAATTGCAAATTAAAAATGTATTAAATAAAATAAATAAATAAATAAAAAGATTAAATTAAATAAAAAAATAAATAAAATAATAATAATAACATATATTTTTAAGATTTATAATAAAATACAATTAAATAAAATTTAAAATAATATAAAATTAAGTTAAATTTAATTTAACAAAAATTAAAATTAAAAAATTTTTGTAAAAATTTAAATTAAAAAATAAAATTTTATTAAATTAAATGTAAAAATTTTTTAAAAATATAAAAAAATTTAATTCAATTAAATAAAGATTAAATTAAATTAATTTAATTCAATTAAAGAAATAGAATTAAATTAATAAAACAACAATTAAAATAAAATAAAACAAAATAAAATAAAATAAAAAAATAAAATAAAATAAAATAAAATTAAATTAAATTAAATTAAATTAAATTAAATTAAATTAAATTAAATTAAATTAAATTAAATTAAATTAAATTAAATTAAATTAAATTAAATATCAGCGTTATTCCACCAAATACCTTTGATTGATTTCTAAACACTTCCAAAGTTTGGTATTGTGTCTAAAAATGATTATAAACATTTTAGAAACAGAATATTTTCTTATTTTATGCAAAAAATGACATTGTATTTGTATATTGTTTTTAACTATTTTATACCCTTCAATATCCATTCAAAAGTTAATGGCCAAACATACCTTCATAAAAGTTAACAATGTTGCTTCCAAAAGCAAATAAACACAGATAACGAAACATATTTCATAAGTTTAGATATAAACTATAAATTATTTAAATCCCTTTACCAAAGCCTATAACAGTCCATCCACCATGTTTGTAGCTTTTTAATTGCCCATTTTTGTAGTTGTAATGAAATTCATGTCCTGTTACAGTATCTCAGACCTATAATAACAGATGGTGATTTTCCATTGGTGTGTGTGTTTTCTGCAGACCTGAGGTGTGTTGTTGTACCTGGCAGACGGTGGCCTGCAGCATGGCATCGAAGCCTCCCTCCGGTGTGTCCATGTTTCCTGAGATCCTCTGCTCCTGGATCACTCTAGTGAACTCGCTCATGTTCTGGGTGACGGGGAGGACGTGGATGAAGCCGTGAGCCGGTCTGCAGTGAACCTCGTATTCACTGAAAGAGAGAGAGACACGGAGGTCAGTGAGCTGGACACACACATGCATGCACACACACACGCACACTCACACATGCACACACACAAACACTGACACACCGGTACTGCTTCATTATTACTGCACATCTACGGGATTTTACCACAGTTTAGACAAACTTTTGCTCTAAAGTCACTCAAACTGTAAAACAAATTGCTTTAGTAACAGTAAAAAAAGCTAAAAATAAAACAAATAAAATAAAAATATTTTTAAATAAATGAATAAAAAACAATAAATAAAATATAATAATAAAAATAAACAGATAAACAAAAAACAATAAATAAAATAAAATTACAAAAACAAACAGATGAACAAAAAATAATAAATAAAATAAAATATTACAAAATAAAAAGATGAGTAAAAAGCAATAAATAAAATAAAATAATAAAAAATAAACAAATGAATAAAAAACACTAAATAAAATAAAATAATAAAAAATAAAAAGATGAGTAAAAAACACTTATTAAAATAAAATAATAAAAAAACAGATGAATAAAAAACACTAAATAAAATAAAATAACAAAAAAACAGATGAATAAAAACAATAATTAAAATAAAAAAATAAACAGGTGAGTAAAAAACAATAAATAAAATAAAATAATAAAAAACAGATGAATAAAAACAATAATCAAAATAAAAAAATAAAAAATAAACAGGTGAGTAAAAACAATAAATAAAATAATAAAAATAAACTGATGAATAAAAACAATAAATGAAACAAAACAATAAAAGAAACAGATGAATAAAAACAACAAATAAAATAAAATAATTAAAATAAACAGATGAATAAAAACAATTATTAAAATAAAATAATAAAAAATAAACAGATAAACAAAGACAATAAATAAAATAAAAAATAAACTGATGAATAAAAATAAATAAATAAAATAAAATAATAAAAAATAAACAGATAAACAAAAAAACAATAAATAAAATAAAATAATAAAAATAAACTGATGAACAAAAAACAATAAATAAAATAAAATAATAAAAAATAAACAGATAAACAAAAAACAATAAATAAAATAATAAAAAATAAACTGATGTATAAAAAAACAATTAATAAAATAAAATAATAAAAAATAAACAGATGAATAAAAAATGATGAACAAAATTAAATGATAAAAACATTAATAAAATAAATATACATTTATTAATTTGTTAATTATAGACAAAAGTTACAAACATTAATTAACATTAATTTACGAAGCACCAAAAATAAATCAAAAAGGATAATGAAAAAATATAACAATAAAAATTATAAGTAATAATAATATACTTTATAGTAGTAACTAAACTTATTACAGTTACTTTAATAAAACAAACAATGTGTAATACTTGTATCATATTATAAAATATAATACTACTACTACTACTACTACTACTACTAATAATAATAATATTATTATTACTACTAATAATAATAAAATAATAATAATAATAATAATAAAATTTTTATGCTATTTTAATTAAACATAATTGTAAAAATATTAAAAATAAAGAAGTAAAAGAAAGCTAATGAAAAATATATTCTGAACATCTTTCTTTTCACATTCCCTTATTATTTATGTCATAATCAAGGTCAAGATTTTCCAGAAAAAAAAATCATGTCCTTCATTAAAGGCAACAAAAAGCTTTTATAACAGATACCGTCTGAACAATGAGGACAAAACATCTCTTTATCCAAAAACCTGAGTTGTGCAATTCTAATCTCAACTCAGAAGCATTAAGTGCACAGCGACACAGTAATAATAATATTTACAGAAGAACTCAAGGACTTGAGAATCAACTGGCATGTCTATGTGAAAGCCTATATGAAAATTATATCAGCTTAGTCCCTTTATAATATAATATGATATAATATAATATAATATAATATAATATAATATAATATAATATAATATAATATAATATAATATAATAATCTATTTAATTATTAATAAGCTATGTATGAAATCCTAAAAGTGTATCATTTATTAATGTTGTTTTATTAATTATAATATTAAATGCAAATAATTAAATCAACCTTAATTTTACATCAATATAGTAATCATTAATATAAGAACAAAATTATAATATAATATAATATTTTATATATAATATAATATAATTTAAACTTTTTAAATTATATATTTATTAATTGTAAATTATTCATGTAATGTACAAAATATTATGCAATATAATATACTATAATATAATATAATATAATATAATATAATATAATATAATATAATATAATATAATATAATATAATATAATATAATATAACATTAATTATTTTGTATATATATATTAATTATATTATATTATAATTATTAATAGGCTACTTACTAATTCTTACAGATTTATTATTTATGTTGTTTTATTAATTATAATATTAAATTATAACAATTATTTTAAACTCAATTTTACATCACTAGAGTAATCAAACAGAATTATCATCAATGCAGTCACAACGTAATGTATTTCAACAGTCTGGGATCCAGTGTGTTTACCTGCAGGGGTTGAGTAGTTTAGAAGGGTGCACGTCGATGTATGGAGACACTGGTTTATCCACGAAAGAGCCGAAGCCCACTCTGAAGTCACTGGAGTGCTGCTTCATCTGATGAGACAGAGCCAAACCCACCGTCTTCAGCCGATCCAGGTTGTCCTGCATGGAGGCCGAGACGTCCACAAGATAGTACAGATCCACTGGGTATCGTTCCAACTGCTGAACTTCGATCACAAAACTCGCCTCGCTGCCTGAGACAGGAAATGACGTCATCACCAGCCCCGTGCACAGACTATCCAAGGGGCATGTGCAGGATAAAATATATTTAAAGAAGAGTGAGGGGGGTGGGGGGTGGTTGGGGGTTGTCACGAACTGAAGGTGGGGGGGGGTGCTAAGGCTGTTCTTAATGGGTAGTAATGGTGTTGCTATGCAGTTGCTAAAGTGTTATTCTAGGTTGTCAGGGAGTTGCTAAGGTGTTCTTATTTCTAAGTTGTTTTGGGTTGCTAAGCTGTTGCTAGTATATTCTTGATGGTTGTTGTGATATTCCTGTGGGGTTGCCAAGGTGTTCTGGTTTATAAGTTGCATTAAGTTGGTTATGATTTGCTAAGGTGTTCTTATTGGTTGTTTTATTGTTGCTGTGGTGTTCTTGTTTCTAAGGTGTTTTGGTTGCTAAGGAGTGTTCTTGATGCCAGTTGTGGTGTTGCTGTAAAGTTTTTAAAGGGTCACGAAACACCAAAACACATGTGTTGAGCTGTTGACAGTGGTATATGTGTCCCACACTGCTAAAAACACTATTAGGACACCTATATTTCACTAAAAAGTGTAAATTGGTTGTTTTTGCGTTATTTCAAGCAAATTCGTACTTCCGGTTTGAAACGAATTTTTGAAGCTGCGTCACGGCAATGACATAATAGCGTGTATTCCAGCGTGCAGACTGGGCGTCTGTGCCAGAATGTGTCTTATTACGTCTTACAGTGTGATGCATTAATGCATGAGTAAGGCTTGGTTCAAACCAATCAGCGCGCTCTATTGTGCAACTTCATTAATATTCATTAGTGTCACAGTGTTTAGACGACAGAGACGCCATGTTGTGTTGGCAAAACAAGTGTGAAGTGTTGCTTTTATAGTTTGCTGCAGTTTAGTTTTGTTTTCATTTTCTCTCTGTGAGAGCGCAGACTCGTGTGGATTAAGTGTACGCGACGCTCGACGACAATAACTTACGTGTCTAAGGAGGATTATTGTTTACCTGAGAGCTGTTCTCATCTGCGAACGCTGAGATCCGGTGTAGCAATCGATTCTGTTCCCTTCTGGAATTCCAGTTCCCCCTCCACGAAGCGTATCCGCTAACAGCGTATGCGGACACAGCCGGATTTGTGGGCACCGGATTCGCTTGTAACGTTAATCTCCTCTAAATAAAGACGCAGCTCTAGTTGCTGGTGATTGTCCTGTCTCTACAGATTTGGTTAGTGAGCGACCAGTGCTCTTTGTTTATTCAGTTCGTATTTTATTCGTATCAAACAAACTATTGCACCGAGTGTAAACAAGTTTGCACTAACAGTTACAACCAAACTATAACCTCGTGTTGGATTTTGTGACCGGAATAACACACGCGGCTTTCTGACGCTACCTGCCGAGTGCATCTAAGTTTCCGGGAAATGCTGAGTTTTTTTTTCTCTCATTCGCTGTGCGGTTTCAAACATTGCATGAAAAATACATGCTTAGAGCAGTTCCTCGAATCAAATATCTCGTTTGTCGGGAGGGACATGAATGAATTCCCTGAATGAAAGAGCCAAACTGCAGTTAAAGTCCACCATTTAATAATTTGGCAAATAATTCGACTACAGATGTCCATGTAAACACAGTCACATTGTCTGCTGTGTGTGTGTGTTTTGACTCTGAAATTCAGCGCGCCCAAATGGACACTCCCACACCAAGCCTCTTTTCTTCCTCCGACACTCCCCCCTAAACAGAGCTGGACACGCCCACTTTTCTGACTTTTTCCAAAGTAGAGGTGTGAAAACCCCCTGCTGAAACGAGGGGGCTTCATGGCCCTTTAAAGACTCTGGTTTCTAGGGTATTTACTAAAACATTTTAGGTGTTTTTGCTGGTTACCATGGCATTGTTATTCTAATGTGTTCTGCATACACTGACACTGTTATGTTGTGCTAAAGAGTTTTGGGTTGCTAAGTATGTTCTAGTTGATCGCCATAGTGTTACTGTAAGGTTGCTAAGTTACTACGCAACTTTTACTTTGGTGTTGCTTGTGTTCTTGTTGGTTGTCAGGAAATTACTTGTCATGTGAGTTGTTTTGGGTTGCTAAACTGTTGCTAGGGTACTCCTGGTGGTTGTTGTGGTATACCGATGAAGTTGCCAAGGTGTTTTGAGTTAGAGACACTTTGCTAGGATGTTCTTAGTGGTTGTTGTAGTGTTGCTGATAGGTTGCTATGATGTTCTTGTATATAAGGTATTTCTGTTAGCTAAGGTGTTGCCAGGGTGTCCTTGATAGCTGTTATTGTGAGGTTTCTAAGGCCCCGTTTACACTAGTACGTTTTAGTTTTAAAACGGCGTTTTAGAATGAAAACAATCCACGTCCACACTTGCGTTTTACCCAGCGTTTCTGAACTGCTCTCCGTCCACATCAAAACGCTGAAAACGCACATCACGTGACCACACACACACTCTCGGGCAAGCGCTGCAGCCCATATACCCAGATGAGAGCTCTGCTAGTCGGACTTCTCATCAAGCATCTCCCGCTGGATCTCATCTTACTATATTTATTAAACGGGATATTTCATTCATTGTTGTCTTTATCTAACGACATATTCCCTGATTTTGGGCATTGGAATCTATTACTTGTTCTCAGGTAACGTGTTTTGGCTGAGCGCAAAGATAAGTTAATGATTAATGTAAGTACGTACATTCTGTATATTGACTGATCGCTTGCCTTTATTTCCTAAAATGTATAAACTTATTGTATGTTATACTTTTAAAATGGCCATTATCGATTATTAAAACTGATACTCAGCAAAAGAGAGGGTGCGTTTCGTATTTTCACTGAAATTGAAAGGAGGCAGTTGTTATCGGCTCCGTTTTATCCACACAGTGAAGATGACGCTCATATATGCAGCACGACGCCTCAACATTTCTGCTGTATAAGTTGCTAATATTAAAATGAAAATAGGCAGTTCCTTAAATCATGTATACAATTTATTGTTGAGAAAGTGAAACAACGAAGCCAGGGTGATGTGAATGAAGTTATAAAGTACACTGTTCCCTTTGAAGATGTACCCGTGTCCTCGGTATAGTCTGTTTTCCATATCAAACTGAGAAGAAGAGACTGCAGCCTTGATCAAACTTGCGAAGTCTGAACTTACACGGAGAAAATGCAGGACTGAACTGTGTGTGTTAGGCTACTTAATATTCAGGAAAAGCCCCAATCAGAGAGGCGAACGTCGGCAGCCCCGCCTCCGTTTTCAGATGTCTCCGTTTTCCATCATCCACACTGAGACGGAGCACCAGCGTTTCAGAATAAAAACGGCCTCTCCAGCGTTTTCGAAACGCTCCGTTTTCGGCGCTCGAGAACTCCGGCGTAGTGTGGACGGGTGGCGTAACCGTAGCAAAACTTATGCGTTTTCAAACTAAAACGCATTAGTGTAAACGGGGCCTAAAGATACTGGTTTCTAGGGTGCTTGCTAAAAAGTTGTTGGGTGTCTTCGCTGGTTACCATGGCATTGATATTCTAATGTGTTCTGCATATACTGACACTGTTATGTGGTGCATTTTGGTTGTTAAGGCTGTTCTTGTTGGCCGTCATGGTGTTGCTGTGAGGTTGCCAAGTTGTTCTGGTTTCTAGAGGGTTAGCTAAGTAAGTTCTTAGTGGTTACCAGGGAGTTGCTAAGGTGTTGTTATTTCTAAAATGTTTTGAGTTGCCAAGGTGTTGCTAGTGGTTGTCATTACTGTGAGGTTGCTCAGGTGTCCTCGTTTATAAGGTATTTACGGCTGCTAAAGCATTGCTAGGGTCTACATGAAGGTTGTTAAGATGTGTTGCTATGGCAGTTCTTCATTGGTTAAGTGGTTTGCATGGCACGTTTAGGATCTGACTTAGCTGTTACCTGGTCGTAGGTGGATGGTGATTTCTCTTGGTGCCACCTGTGAGCTGCTGATGGTGGCGTTTACTTCCACTTTCACTTTCGGGTTCTCGATAAATTCCTCTTCACATCCTCTGACTCGCAGGTCGGACACAGATCCGCATCGCTGGCTTACATGCGCCCCGTCCAGAAACCTCTGTCAAGATAAACAAGCCATCAAAAAGGTCAAGGGTCAACGCAAAAGCCTGCTGCCAGAAGAAATAAGCCAACTGTTGAGCAGGGTGGCATTATTCAGAGCACACAGAGCGTGGAAAAGCTCTTTAGCTAAAAGATTGTTGTTGAGATGTCGGTCAGGGATTAGTCTGACTGGTGCCCGGCACCGCAGCCAGTTAATGAACTTATTTTCTTAACCACAATCCCTAGAATATTTGGGACTCTCCTTACAAAGACGGCATTCAAATTAAACGTCCGACCCAGGAAAATAAACAGGAGAAAGTTAAAACTCTTTAAACAGACTGATTAAAGTCTGACCAGACCACAACCACACTTTAACAGACAAGTGTATGATTTACTCTCTTTTGGGAAGGAATGAGGCTTTATTTGTGTGAGAAAAAAGGTCAAACTTGATTGAGTAGGTTCAATAAAATCTGCAAAATATCTAGCTTTAAACCAGTGTTGTGTTTGCCTAATATATGAGTTTAGTTCATTCATTCATTTTCCTTCAGCTTAGTCCCTTTATTTATCAGGGGTCGCCACAGCGGAATGAACCACCAACTTATCCAGCATATGTTTAACACAGTGGATGTCCAGCTGCAATCCCAGTACTGGAAAACACCCATACACATACACTACGACCAATTTAGCTTATTTAATTCCCCTATAGAGCACGTGTTTGGACTATGGGGGAAACCGGAGCACCCGAAGGAAACCCACGCCAACACTGGGAGAACATGCAAACTCCACACAGAAACGCCAACTGAGCCGAGGTTCGAACCAGCGACCTTCTTACTGTCAGGCGACAGCACTACCTACTGCGCCACTGCTTCGCCCCCGTATAGTAAGTTCAAATTCAAATGTAGTACCTACTCTGAGCTTGTTCAAACTACTTATTTAAGATGAGCAGAAACAACACAATTCTTAAGATTTTCTTGGGAACAACTTAATTGTTTCATGCACAATCCAGTTAAATTTGTTAGCTAACTTAATACATTTCCATTGGGACAACATGACTGAATTGTGTGCATTTTTGACAGTGTTGTCAATATTAGTCGAATGAACTATAATTACTGAACTATTTGCTGTAGGAAACTTCATGTGAGTTCTGTAGGAAAAGTCCTCTTCGGGTTAACTTGAGGAAATGTTGAAGGAATTTGCTTTTGTTTTTCTTTTTTATTAAAATCTCCCATATTCTGACATCCAGCATGGTTTTGTTTGGTTTTCATGACTCTCTGGTCAGTTGTGGTCTCTTGGGGGTTTCTGCGGCAGTGACACAGGAGCATTACCTGACTTTTCTGCCATCAGCCCACCCTGGTGTGTGTGCGTGTCATAGACGTCTCACACACTTCCCACTGGTGTGAAAACCACTGTGTCATTTCAAAATAAGCCTAAATATAACGTTACAGCAATATCATCCTGCTGTATACCACAGTCACTCTTGAGTGATGATGACGACACAAATAAACAGCCTCTCCTGCTGCTGGAGAGCACCGTGACTGGCCTATATCTTGTTTAAAGGTGGCTTTTTTTTCTATGCAGCATTTGTTGACGTTCTTCTTCTTTTCCAATGCAGTTTTAATGCATGTTTTTCTCCACAAATGGGCCTGACCACAGCTTTTAGAGGCCTGTCTCGGTCTCCTGTACCTCTGCCAACTCGACTAGATTAATTAGAGCTTCTAATCTGCAGGAATTCAATGGTTTTAAACATGTCTAGACAAAGCTTAATTGTGTCACGAGCTCCATATAGCGCTGATGCACAGCTTTTTAATGCTTTAGCTAGGTTTTACTAGCTTTATAAGATGTCAAAAATGTAAGTGGTTTGCTGTGATTATAGAGGGGTTGCCAGGGTGTTGCTATGCAGTTGTCAAGGTGTTCTGAGTGGGTTCATGCTAAATTGTATTTCTCTATGGCAGGGGTTTTCATAGTGTGAGGCGCGCCTCCCCTGGGGGGCGCCAAAGCATGTCAGGGGAGGCGTGGGAAAAAATATTATATAATAAAAATTAAGTTTAATTATTATATGTATTTTTTATTATTTTTAAACGTTTTATTTAAACAAAGCTAAAAAAAAATAATAAGAATATAAAAAAAAATAAGAAATATAAGAAAATCTTTTTTACCCAGAAGGCCATAGCTGTGAATTCGCTTCTGTTTGGCAAGCCCGCCAATACAGTTATATGCCTACTAATACAATGGATCGGTTTCTGAGACCCCCCGATTCAAAGCCTTCTAGTTCAGGGCTTAAACCCAAAAGACGACGATATGATGATCAGTATTTGAGTTTAGGATTAACGTGGACAGGACCAGCTGATGAACCACGACCTTTATGTGTGGTTTGTCAAGATATTTTGGCTAATGACAGCACGAGACCAGCTAAACTTCGACTGTTTTGACTGGGATGGACAGTTCTTGGATCTGTTCTGTTCATATTGAACCATCATCCTAGTTTTAAAAACGTTATATTAAAATACTTTGTTATTACTCTGTAAATAATTGCACTTTCATGCAAATGATGATAAAAGTGAGTTAACAGTCTGACATCTGTCTGTCTTTTACTGTATATATATATATATATATATATATATATATATATATATATATATATATGTATACTGTATACATACTGTATACATACAGTACTGTATACATACATATATATATATATATATACTGTATACATATATACATACATACATACATACATACATATATATATATATGTGTGTGTGTGTGTGTGTGTGTGTGTGTGTGTGTGTGCGTGTGTGTGTGTGTGTGCGTGTGTGTGTGTGTGTGCGTGCGCGTGCGTGCGTGTTTGGGAGGAGGGGGGCGCCAATGGATAAGTTGTGTCAAAAGGGAGGCCCACAGTCCTAGACTTTGAAAAACCCTGCTCTATGGGTACCAAGCCTTCATGGCAAGGTTGCAACACTCTGCAGGTGACTTTTCAGGATCGGAGATGCCCACAGCAATATGGTCACTCCGATTTTATAGGGGCTGCCAAGCTGCTGCTAAGCACTTGCTATGGTGTTTTGAGTGCCAAATTTGATGTATTTCAGTGGTTTCAAGTGTTAATTATATGGTTCAGTGTTTCCATGGGGCCTTAAAAAGTCTTAAAGATCGAAATTTTAGGCTTTATAAAGTCTTAAATTTGCTGTTGTAGGTCTTAAATATTTTTGCACAGGTCTTATTTTACCGATGTCTATGCAACACTACATGTAACGCTCATTTAAATTCTTTTGTTGTTGTTGTTGTTTGGTTTTCGTGGTGTTACAGTTCTTTATTTCCAACCCAGGCTCATTCTGGAAATGTAGCCCCGCGGACGTTTCTGGACACCGCGATTTACGTGGCTGCAGGTACGTATGGCTGCATTTCGTTTTTTCAAACGAACGATACTGGGCGGTTTGACGCCGCTCCTCTTTGCGCTTGCCGGCTGACGGCTCACCTTCATGTGAAGGGCTTTTCCGGGTTTATCCGGCTAGCTCATCGTGTTACGTCGGCGGACTGGAGGCCCTGAGGAGGAGCTGCCTGCGGCAACGACCAGATTCAAGTCCGGGAAAGAGCGGTTCCAGAAATCAGGTAAAACAAAAAGCAGAATCCAAAAATTAAGTGAACGAGTGCATAACAGGGAGAGAATGCAGTGAAATCCAAAAACGCAGTCAAAATCAGACACAGGCTTTTCTTTTTCTAGGCGGCTTTTGTAAATCGACGCTTGGGTTAAGGGAAGGAGGAGGGTGGCTTGGTCGGCTGATTGGCCCTCCAGTCAATCGTTCAGTCAGTCAGTCAGACAGTCAGTCGCTCGACAGCATCCTCCAGCGGTGGCTACGTTTTCAGAATGAGCTTGGCTACTTTATTTCACCAGTCCAAATGTGATTTGTCACCTGTCACACTCATACACTACAGACAATTTAGCCTACCCAATTCACCTGTACCGCATGTGTTTGGACTGTGGGAGAAACCGGAGCACCCGGAAGAAACCCACGCTAATGCAGGAAGAACATGCAAACTCCACACAGAAACGCCAACTGAGCCGAGGATTGAACCATCTATCTATCATTAGTCTCCTGTTTGAATATGCTAAAGCACTTTTATTCTTAAGAATCGCTAGATCGCTGGTTTTTCCACTGTTCTCCATGTCTGTGGGTGTTTTTCTCTGGAGGTGAACAGAAACGCGAGCAGCTCTGGAGGAGTGTAAGATTTATCCGTTCTGCTCGGGAAGGCTGCTCTATCTCTGGAGCAGAACATACGAATTCCTGGGCTCTCTGGGGTCTCTGGGATCTACGGCACTCCTCTCGTGGAGATATACGCCGGTCTGAAGGGTTCCTCAACCTTTCATTCATTAGAGATGATTTACTGTGGCAGTACAAAACACTTGGGAAGTTTCCTTCTGTGTTACTCGCCGTGTAGGAGCAGTGCACTTGGCTTCATGTGTAGCATGTGGAAATATGCGGTTTATATGCAAATATCAGATTGTGCAGACTTGTTATTGTTATAAACACTAATTCATCCTATTTGTTTCTGCAGTGAGATGGAGTTACAGATGTTGCTTAATTTTCCGGATATAAAAGACAGCAGAAAGATCACTACAATTAAAGTGAGTTAAACTTTCCTTTAACGCAAAATTAGTGAGATGTTTATGTATTTTATTGCTGCACTTTTACTTTTGTTGTTGATACTGCTCAACATTAACATAATTAAGTCAAAAGGACAAACTCAGTGTGCTTGTGTGTGACAGTTGTTTGGCTGGCAGACTTGTCTAACACACCTCTGTTTTCTTCATTTCTCTTTCACCCCTGCACTGCGGCCCCCAGACGGAGACGTCACACTGAGAGAGAGGCTCCTGGAGAACCGGCCCCGCACTTTTGCCCAATAAACCAACCTTTCAGCCTCAGTTAAGGATTGAGCTCAGCTGCCGTTAACACCAATATTCAGGTTTGAAATAAAACTCGGTTTGTTTGGACAATATACAGAGAGTGTTCATATCTGAGTACA